AGAAGAGCGTCTAGCTGTCACTGGAATGGAGTTGGAAACGAGATCGAGAAGAAAGAAAGTCGAATGGGAAGCAAGAAAGCTCAAGAAGAGATGATGGAATGTCAGTGCGTCTATAATTTGTTGTGAAAGGGTGTCGAACACAGCGCCCGGGCGTTATGGTGGCCATTCATGTCTGGTATGGTCAAGTAGGCACCTACTTTATCTGAAAGCTGGACGCTTCCATCCGCGAGTTGATGCCTCAGGCTTGAAAGGCTCTATCGGGCAAATCAGCCACCGTGCCGCCATCAGATAGGAGAAATGGTGGATAAGGGAAAATGAGAGGGGAACAAAAAAAATCCTCCCAAAAGTGAGATTTTATTCGAAGAGTGAACGAGGAAAAGGCAGCTTGGTTACCGAATCACCTTCCAGTGCTGTCCACGTTCATAGTTGAAGATTTTCACTCAAATTGTTGACCTGAGACACAGCTGAGCCGCGAGAAGCAGTAAAGCTAGAATTCTCTTTGGCATTTTCTGATACATATCCTCGGTGGATCTGCGATTCATTTTCACCTTGCCGGCCATGTCTCGTCCTGAGGATGTTCTGTGGGTTATCTCAATGCGAATTATTACTCTTGTCGTTGTTTCACTTGAGCTTGGTGCTGACATGGGTTTTGAATTTCCGTACGCAAAGGCCCCCCGATCTTTTCTACGATGACAATGAATCTCGAAAATACACGACTTCATCTCGTATCCAGAACATTCAATCAGATATGACCCATCGAGCGCTGGAGCTCCTCGATCTTCGTTCTCCATCGCTCATCCTCGATGTGGGGTGCGGTTCGGGACTTTCTGGCGAGATCCTTTCCCAAGTACCTCCTCAGGAGGGTGGACCTCATACCTGGGTCGGGATGGACATTTCACCAAGCATGCTTGATGTGGCACTCCAACGAGATGTTGAGGGCGACTTGCTCCTGGCCGATATTGGACAGGGCGTGCCATTTCGGCCTGGCACTTTCGACGCGGCAATCAGTATCAGTGCTATCCAGTGGTTGTGCAATGCGGAGACAAGCGATGTCAGCCCTGAGGGACGTCTTCGTAGATTTTTCGAGGGATTATACGCTAGCCTTCGCCGTGGGGGACGTGCTGTCTGTCAATTCTATCCAAAGAACGATGCGCAACGAACCATGATTAGCGGCGCTGCTATTAGAGCTGGCTTCGGAGCTGGTATCTTAGAAGACGATCCTGGCACAAAGAATGGCAAATTATATCTCGTCCTGACCGTTGGAGGTGGTGGACTGCATGGCGATATTACTGGTGTTGTCCAAGGCATGAACGATGTTGACGTCTTGGATGCCAGGAGAAAAGCCACGGAGCGCAGCAAGGCCCAGCCATCTAGGAAAGGAGATAAAGCTTGGATTCTGCGAAAAAAGGAACAAATGGCAAAGAAAGGGAAAATTGTGAAAGCAAATTCCAAATACACTGGAAGAAAGAGGCGTCCTGCATTCTAGTTTTACATGCTCTAGAGGTCCAGCCGTGTGCCACAATTCACCACACTCCAGCTCACTCGCCCATTGCGAGAACTACAGCTATATCGACGCAATGCAGTGATTAACATAATCCCTTGCTATAGACTACGATGGCCGAGCGCTTGTTTGTGCGGTGGACAGAATTGAGCAGTCATTAGGTACAGTGTCCATTTGGGAATTCTGAGAAAAGGCCTTCTTGTTTTCACGAAGACCACAAAAGCTATTTGACAGATGAGTCTGTCTCGAAGGGATGCTTTCAGGTCAGATCCGCTCCACACGGGGACCTATGAGCTCGGGAATGGGCAGTAAACTATCCTCCAGGAGATTTCCCTTGCTGTGTCAAGCCTGGGGTAGGACGTCTCATGCTGTGTGGAAGCTCGTGGAGCAAAGAGAGGCTTATAGATTTTTGCCGATTGATGATACCCTTGATTGAAAAAGAGCCAACGTTCAAATACCTTTATTCATAACGACGCATCTAACACATACTTTCTATCCCACAATCATGTGTATCGCCTCGACTATGCAGTAGACGTCTTTTTGCATTGTACGCGGTTGTAAGTGTTACAAAGTATAAGCACAGGTCTGACCAGCTAGCAAGGCCTTCAGGGAATGCGACAACAGACCATTTTTTCGTCATCATGAGAATTGCAGAAATGAGATGAGTGGTATCAGGAGTAATTACAGAGCAGCCTCCATCTTGTCCAAGACGGCCCTGGTGAACTCGTGAGTGGTGGCTTGTCCACCCATGTCGCGAGTTCTTGTTTTACTGAAAATGAGGGAATTAGTTGGAATTCGACCATCGAAAAGGATGATTGTAATGAACTCACCCTTCACCAATCACATCATACACGGCCTTGGAGATCCTGTTTGCGTGATCGTCCAAGCCAAGGTGGCGAAGAAGCATGGATCCAGAAAGGATCATAGCACTGGGATTAGCCTGATCTTTGCCCTTGATATCGAGGCCAACGTGGCGGCAACCGGGCTCGAAGACCGCAACGTCACGTCCCATGTTGCAGCCAGGAACCACACCAGGTCCACCGACAAGGGCAGCGCCGACGTTGGACAGAATGCCTCCGTACAAGTTGGGCATGACCATCACGTCGAACTGCTGGGGTCGAGAAACGGCCTGCATGGATGCATTGTCGACAATCATGTCGTTAACTTCCAGAGTAGGGTACATCTCGGCGACCTTGTGGAAAGTACTGCGAAACAGGCCATCGGCGAGTTTCATGATGTTCGCCTTGTGGATGCAGGTGACCTTCTTTCTGTTGTTGGCGAGAGCAAATCCGAACGCGAATTTGGCGATGCGCTCTGATTTGGCACGAGTGATGATCTTCAGTGACTCAACCACACCCTGTACCGACTGATGCTCGAGACCAGAGTACTCTCCCTCGGTATTTTCACGGATAATGCAGAGGTCAACGTTGTCGTGACGTGTCTTGTAACCGGGAATATTCTTAATCAGAACGATTGAGGCGAAGATATCAAGTTCTTGACGGAGAGCAACGTTGAACGACTGGTGACCCGAGCGCTCAACTGGGGTGAACAGGATACCCTTGAGACCAAGCTTGTTGCGTCGAAGAGAGGCGATGGATTCTTTGAAGAGCTCCTCCGAATGCTTGTTGCCTGTATCGACACCGCTGACATCTACCTGCTCCCACTCAATGGGAACGTTGTCGGCCTTGAAGATGGTCTTCACCGATTCGGCAACTTCCGCACCAATACCATCACCTTTGCATTACAGAAAGATCTCATATCAGCGATACCGACTACTGACAATTGGGGGAAAGACTTGGTGAGCTATAGATACCTGGAATGAGAGTAACGGTGTATTTGCCGCCATACTTCGTGGGCTTGAAGATGTCAGACTGCACGCTAGCAAAAGCTAGAGACCCAAGTCAATAGAGGCCATAGAATAGCAGCCAGTCTTGCAGCAAAAGAATCGAAGGTACATACATCTTGCTGGGATCGAGGAGTGGACGAGAGAGCCTGCACCAGCTGCGCGGCGGAGGAAAGACTGCAGAACAGGAACAAATTAGCTTTAATTGGCAGAATCACGACGGTGAGGCACGAGGAATGAAAAAGCTGCTGCAATGCGGCTGCAATGCTGCTGCCGGGCGGAGGGAAGTAGCCTGAAAGAGAAGGGGAAAATGGGACAGGAAACGAGAAAAAGCCCGACCACGAGCCACACAATCTGTCTGATGTAGGGTCTTACTAACCTGCGCGGGCTGCGCCGTCCGCAAGGAGAACATTTTGGCAGGCAATGGACAAGAAAAAAGAAATTGAGCAGAAAAGAGGGGAGATGGAGAGAAGAAGTGTGCCCCGGGTGAGCAAGAAAACGCGCAGGCGAAAAGACGGATGGAGTTGGAAGATTGAGTAGTCGGGGTGCACGGCCACGAGGAAGAAGGAGGCGCCGGAAAAAACGGCGGATCGTCTCGGCATCCATCAGGTGTCTATTCCGTCCTCCGTACTCCGTATGTATTGATTGCGCAGCAGTTTCGTGCCTGTCACCCTTACACCTCACAACACGGCCCGATCTTATCTTTTCCTCTCTCTCGGCGCCATAATATCGTCAGTCCTACTATGGGAAAAAAAAAAAAATTTAGGTAACAACGCGCTAATTATTTACACTGCAGAAGAAGAAGTGAGAAATAAAAATCACAGAGACAATAGTTGCTGCAGTTTTCAGGTAATCGCCAGACACTGTCAGTTTATTGTTACGAAGGCTACAGTACAGAAATACATCATGATCCAAGTTCTTTTTCTTGGCTTGCTGGGTAGAGAGATCATTACCTCCATGGATTTAAGGGGGGAATTCCTCTGTCCTTTACCGCATCTGTTGCATCTGTTGCAGTCCGTTCCAAGTATGTTTTCTATTCTATTCGGTCTATCAATCAGCATCGAGACCTCTCCAAGATCGCTGAAAGAAAGAGATGATGCAAAGTTTATTGAGGAGCTTAACTTTATTGATGGCTCTTTTCGGTCAAAAAATGTCTATTGACACCCTTGACTGCACATAAGTGCCTTTATCACCCGCTATTCACATTTTCATCCATCATGATGATGGATTTTCTAGATGAATAATTGGTCTTGATAGAGTCTGGTCAACTTCAACGCCACTTCAGAATCATGAAGGAGCTTTTGAAGGAGCTTTGAATCAATAACACAAAGGCTGATTCTTATTGAGGAGCTGCTTTTGCGATTCCTGTTGATTGATGATCTATTCATGGGGTGCAAACTTTGTGTTCATTCTCCTGCTTCGCGGCTTTCCCATCAAACGTTGAATAGAATCACTCAGGCCTTGGGAATGCATATCCATGGGTTGCATTTGGCGCGGTCTCAGTACCATCTGCCTACTTAAAGCCCATGAGACCTGCCTCGAATCGATCTCCTGGTTGACATCAGAGTCATCAATTCCAATTCAAAGCCAGGCTTTACTTTGCAGCCTACAGTGACGTATTCTTTTCTATCTCTCTACTTCGTTTGATCATCGAACATGAAGCTCCTCTCGCTCGTTCTCGCTACCTTCGCTGCCACTGCTGTGCAGGCAGGCACCATGCAGTGGTGCCAGCTTCCTGGTCAGGGTTGCTACATGCTCAAGCGCGCTGCCGATGCCTCAAATGAGGTCAGACGTTCAGCCAGTGCCGTCGCTGAGGCCGTTGCAGACGCCTTTCCAGGCACCTCTCAGTGGTGCCACCTTCCTGGTCAGGGCTGCGCCAAGGCGAAGAGAGCTGCCGAGGCCGCTGAAGAGGTGAAGCGCTCCGCCGATGCCTTTGCTGATGCCATGGCTGCTTTTGAGGCGGAATAGGCAAAGTTGGTATTACCCATATTTTTCGCGTCTTATTCATTGTCCTTTGCCATGTTGCTCAGTCTTCCACCAATGAGTTTTCCCTTCGACTAGTTCAGTTTGGTTTTTTTTTTTTTACCCTTTCTCCCCCACCCCCAAACCCTCCTCTTCTTGACCGAAGCCGTATGGACTTTTATTTCTGTTGCAATTGTTTCTAGGATACGTTCAACCCGTTGGTATCTCTATCTCGGGCTGGTTACGACTCCTTACTGATGCGAAATTTCACAGTGCAGATTTCTGCAGATTTCTGGCGCGTCGTGTACCGCCGACATTCTCTTCGATCATGGCTATGATTACTCGCTCTGCGGACGGGGTTTGGAAAGAGGTTCCAGTGTGGGACCGAGGCAGGGGCATCTGAATGCGCGGACTCGTGGAGGCCCAATTCGAGGGGAAAATATGAAACATCACAACGCCAATGGACGAGCAGGGGATTCTTTTTTTCCAAGCTTTCATGTTGATATTGGGTTTTGACATGGGGACTGGATATATATAAGGCGAGACAGCCTTGTGTTTCCATGGCACCCTGGCCAGAAAACGAACTCGTCATTCTTTCTACTTACAATGGTTGAGCTGGCATATATCATAACTCTCAGGTTGCAACAAATTTTGCCTCGCGTTAACTCATGTGTACTTATCTGACCAGTGGTAAAATTGTATGGATCAAGTTGCGATGTGTGTAAGGCGCCGCATCAGAAAAACCTAAAAATTGAGACTGTAGTCTTCAATCAAGTAATCCGAATTCCTCGAGTACTGGACATCATGGTATCAGTGCCACATTAATTAATATTGTGGTAATTATAGTATTCTTTGACTCTAACTAGTACCTATCATTGGTGATGGCGCGGCTACTCCAGAGAATCGCTATATTCCTAAATAATAGAACATTAAACCTTTACTAGTGCAGAAGTGCGAAAGCATGAGAATACAGATAAACAGAAGCAAATCTCATAGTTAAAGCCCTTGAAGTTCTGACTCCAAGATTAACTAATAATATACCATGCAGGATACCTGAGGCTAATTACTTTGATGTTACAACAAGCTATATTCATGGCCAACCAGTGCAGAAGTGCATAAACGTACGTTGCCAGGTAGGGAGCCACTACAGGAACGATACCTATCTTGGTCGTGGAGCTTTCCACGTGGATACGTCATAGCCTTGATATGGATAGATATTTCAAACCTACCAAGTACGTACTACCAATTGTAGATCTGATAATCTTGGCGTATCCACAGATAAACCTGATGAGGTTGAGCAACACCCCCCATCATCAAAACAGAGGAAGGGGCTTGAAGGAGAACGTGGGAAATCTAGGTTTTTTAAGGATTCAAAGCATGCCCTAGATTCAAGCCATGGGCTTGGAAACTTATATCAGCATCGATTCGACTAGGACCGAAGGACCCAAGTGGAAGTTGTAGGTTTGGTGCATGGATTGTGGGCAATTCTGTACTCTAAACATATCTATCGTGTACGGAGTACAGAGCAGTACATACTTACATGCATCATGTATTTAGAACATTCTAACACTGCCACATCATACATGCTTTTGACATAGGGTAGTCAGTCCCTGCAATTATACTAATGAGACCAATGCTCCCAAATGGGTTCAAAAGAACAATGTGTCAGTAATACAGAGCAAAATCCACACTGACAATGGCAGATAAACAAGGGTAGTACACTAAAGCATAATTCAAAAAGTGGCAGCTGACAGTGTCGTTCGATTCATTGCATTGAGATGCCAATTCCAAGATCATTGAGAGATCGGGAATTATAGACTATATCTCCCAGTTCTCACCACATGTGAATAGATGGAACTGATCACGGAGTGGCTTTACGGTAACTTATACGGGCTATACTCTTGTGGTCGTTCGAAGGCATGTCAAGGTGTCCAAATAAGCCTTCCATGCTTGATTACCAGATGGGCTTCGAGAGGATTGAGCCACCTAGGGGCATCTCAAGGTCACCGCTTAACAGGCCCAAGTTCAAGAAACAGTACCTCTATAAACAGACAATAAATTCACACCAAATGTGGCTCCCAGATGAAGGGGTTGAGATGTAAGAGACACATCCGCCACAGTTCAGCTATGTTGAGAAAGGAAGCTCATCCTGCCGTAAGTCCATGGGCTTTGTCGCTGCCTGGCGCGCCACATGCGAGGAATGATGGTAGTGCTGTGTGATACTATAAACGATCGGACGGATGACGTTTTTGTCCTTTGGTGGTTCAGACCCCATGCTCATCTGTTTTGCAAAGAGCGTCGCAAGGTCATTCTGCATTGCAGTACTACTCTCAGACGCCGATAGGCCACACTGAATCCGTCACTAGTCAGGAGCTCAGACTGAGGATGGGTGAGGAAAGATCCCCACCTCTGCACAACAAGGGTTCATAATGAATGCAGCGAGTGCGGTAGATACGTCCGTGATTTTCCCACAAAAGGCACATGTATGCAGAATAGTTGAGGACATCTCGGGAAGGCTAACCAAAATATAGGCAGAGAAAAGATCAACCGATCGTACCATCTAACGATTATGAAACGTCAAGCAGGCGTGAGGGCGGGATATGCGTAGAATATAAATATTTGTCTTTAGGATCTGTTTGCAAGGCATCAACGATTGTCTCTGACAGACAGAGACTGAAATCGAACCGAGACTCGACCACTAGGCAGATATCAAGAAATTGAAAAGAGAATGTTTGGAACCAAGAAGGAGAAATGGCAGAGATTGGAGATCTATATAGTTGGTTTGATGCCTAAGAATTGGGACTTTGAGCAACAGGTTGGGCACTCAACAAGGTGAGTTGACCTAAGCGGGGACTGGTACAGAGTCACCAAAGCAGGGCTTCTTCTGCTTCATGTGTAGTGAACAGACTCTTAAATTAAACGCTAGAGATTTGTGACGGACTTGGTCATGTATGAAAGAGCACATCTATATATATACACTTTCATGACTCACAGGTCGTAATAAAGAAAGGCGATAAATATCTATCTTAAAACATTATTTTGTCTTGAGGCTTAAAGCCCCTCGCACTGCTAGCATTCTCACAATATTATGCAGTAACTATAATTGCTATTATTAGTCATCTTATGTGTATTCTATCTGATACATCGTAATATCATGTGATAACAACCTTTTGTAGGTAGCTACGGATGGTGATAGGCAGAAACCCCGTGACGCGATCATAGCTACCTTAGCACCTACATCTTTGGAGCCAGCAAGCTAGCTTGCACATACTGCTGCCATATCTTATCTTAAACCTTTCCCATATCATTGACCTCTGATCCATCACCCTCACCGTACCTTTCATCTCACTTGTCATCTGTTCCTGCCTGAGTATTCATTTTATTAATTGATACTCACCTGCCGCTGCTCTCATCTCACCTGTCCAACGTCACAGCTATGGTTCAGTCCCCCTCTACTCTGCTGATGTCGAATATCCAATAAGCTGACTTCACCCCATTACAGACATCTATCGGTACTGGATATGATCTATCGAACTCCGTCTTTTCTCCGGACGGTCGCAATTTCCAGGTATTTGATTTATTTCCCTTGGCGAGCTAGGAGGTACTCATACGCCCGGCAGGTGGAATACGCAGTCAAGGCAGTCGAAAATGGAGGGACAGCTATCGGTATCAGATGCAAGGATGGAGTTGTCCTGGCAGTAGAAAAGATCGTCACGAGTAAGCTTTTGAAGCCAGGTGCGAATAAGAAGATCGCGACAGTGGATCGCCATGTGGGCATTGTAAGGCAACAATGATGTTTGATGTTGGCAGATCAGCATCTCATTGCGACGAATCAATGCATGCTAATTGATATATGCTTGTGTCCCAGGTCTCAGCGGGATTGGTCCCAGATGGTCGTCACTTCGTCTCGCGAGCTAGAGACGAAGCTTCCTCGTGGAGAAGCGTATACAAGGGGCCCATCCCGATATCCGCCCTGGCCAGTCGCCTTGGAAGTTATGTCCAAGCTTACACGCTTTACTCCAGTGTACGACCATTTGGGGTTACAGCTATTGTAGGAGGTTGGGATTCTGAAACCGAGTTGGCTGTTGATGGTCAAGTAGGAACCGGACCAGCTTCGGGCTCCGGCGGTAAAGTTACAGGTGCAAAGGCTGGTGGGCCGGGACTTTATATGATCGAGCCCAGTGGGCTGTACTGGGTAAGATGATTGTGGACGTTCAACTTCTTTCTCGTGCTAACTTGATAAGGGCTACTACGGCGCCGCCACTGGCAAGGGAAGACAGGCAGCGAAAGCTGAACTCGAGAAGTTGGACCTAGCTTCCGAAAATTTGACTCTGCTCGATGCCGTCAAAGAAGCCGCCCGAATCATATACGTGGCCCACGAAGACAGCAAGGACAAGGAGTTTGAGTTGGAGATGTCTTGGATCAGCTCATTAGACGGACCGACCAAAGGGAAGCATGAAGAGGTACCCAGGGAACTCCTTGAGGAGGCTGAAAAGGCAGCAAAGAAAGCTTTGGAGGACGAGGACGAGGAAGAGATGTCAAAGAGTGATGGCAATGAGGGCGAGCGAATGGAGGAATAGAAACGTAGATTGAAGATCACTACTCAACAATACAAAACAAGGATAATCAGATCTCTTGAGGGCAGCCAAGGGGTTCGTTATTGTCACTCGTATGTTAGGCCCAAGTGTTTTTGGGGCCTTTTCCCTCTCGCCTATCTAGCCATGGGTGTTGTAACTGCGCCTACCTCTGGTTCTTTCATGAAGCCATTCGCTGTTGCTAATTGCTATGAGACTAAACGATTTTCCCTTCTACCCAATCTCTTCTCTTCAAACCGAGTTCCACAGCCGCTTTACCCCAATCCTCACCATGATTATGCATTCCCTTCTCGCCAAGACCGGCTCTTTCCAGGCCTTGTTCTTCCGTCAGAACAGTGAGCACTCCGAAAATGACTGGCACGCCGGTATCAAGTTGGACACGCATCAACCCATGAGACACCGCATCCGCAATGTACTCAAAATGCATTGTCTCTCCCTTGATGAGAACACCGATAGCAATAATGGCATCAAAAGGTTTAGATGCAGTCGAAGTTGGCGATGTCTTACTCAGGTCTGCAGTAGAGGACGATAATAAATCCGTAGCACTGATGCCTCCTGCGGAGGATGATCCTTTGGCAGCCTGGAGCTGCGAGGCTGCGTACATTCTGGTAGAGATCTCAGATCAGATAGGCCTATAACAGAAAGGCAGAACACATGCCTGCGTCTCAGTATTGCGGTTGGAATCGCCATGTCTTACCGCTGAGCAGCAAAGGGTAACTCGTAACTACCGGGCACTGTCTCAAGGGTGATATCCTCTTCAAGTACACCGGCTGCCAAAAGGCTTTTTTTTGCCCCTTCCACAAGAGGTCCAATTATTGCCATGTTCCACCTGGCATGAACAATGGCAACGCGAAGCCCAGAGCCTTCAAGAAGGGAGAGGAAGCATAAGCAGACGCGTCACGGAATACAGATTAATCCCTCACCATCAAAAGCCTGAACAGCTCCTGGCCCTTTCACTGATGACATTTTTGGATACAGATGTCTTCCTCAAGAAAGTTCGTTGTCGAAATGATGATGACTCGAGATGGTTCGTTAGAAACGAGTGGTGGTTCTTTGGGACAAAAATCTTGTGGGGAACTGGAAGTCCAGTGACACCGACCCCGCGCTTGGTGGGAAATGGCAGGGAGCTAGCATGAGCCGACTACCTATTGAGGTTCCAGCAAACCCTACGCAGTGCAGGGTGCGAAACCTGTAATTCTGCATTGATGCTTCAGATTTAGGATACCGAGCTGGGAACCACCGAACATCGGAATCATGCGACCAAACAGATATTGAATGGGATAATGTTCCTGGATATACCTCTCTGAACAAGGGTATGAAGGTCTTAGCTGTAGCTTTACTCAAATGACCAGCGTGATGAATCAAACAGAGGTTGATAAGATGAGCATCTAGACTACAATAACCATAGCACTTCTTCTCATTCCCGCCTGGTATGAATGTGTAAAGTGAACAATGCAACAAAGATACTGGAAACCATTCTTTAAGAACTCACGTCCCAGATCCACGATCCCTACGTGACACGAAGTGATATAGTGATCTATTCAACAGTGACCGATTTTGCGAGGTTGCGAGGGAAATCAACGTTGAGTCCCTCTCCAACAGCAAGCCAGTAGGCAATAAGCTGCAGTGGAATAACGTTGAGAAGACCTTGCAGACAGTCGACGGTCCTCGGGACCTCGATCTTTTCGGTCTGGGCGGAAGAGAACTCTGGGTCGTCATGGTTACAGATCACAATAGGGCGACCACCGCGAGCAATCACTGATAAATGGTTAGAGGTACCGAAGACGAATGCAGGAGGGAAAAGATAGCTCACCCTGCTGATAAGCATTCAGAGATTTTGAGAAGATATTGTCCCTCGTAAGAATCATGATAATGGGCAGATTCTCATCGACCAAAGCAAGGACACCGTGTTTCAGCTCACCCGACATGACCGCCTCACAATGGAGATAGGATATTTCCTTGATTTTGAGTGCTCCTACAGAAGCCATTAGCGTCTGAAGTACCACAAGTGGGGATACTGTAATGCTGACCTTCGAGAGCCGTGGGGAATTGACTGCCTCTGCCCAAAAGAAGTAAACTCTTTTGGTCCTTGAAAAATTTCGCGCACATCTGTTTGATGGGTTCATTCAGTTTCAGGATCTCTCTGAACTGTCCAGAGATTTTGGAAAGACCGTCCATGATCTCCTCCCGTCGCTTTTGCTTCGACGCGCGATCCTCGCTCAGAGAGAGTGCGAACATGACCATGGCAACGAACTGGGACGTATAGGCCTTGGTAGAAGCAACGCCAATTTCAGGACCAGCATTGATATGCACACCACAGTGGGTCAATAGAGAAATGGAAGATCCCACGACATTGACAATGCCGACGGTCAATGCTCCTCGTTCAAGGCAATAGCGAAGAGCCAAAAGCGAATCGGCGGTCTCACCCGATTGGGAAACAAAAACACAAGTATCGTCCCGGAAAACAGGCGCCTGTCTGTCCAAGAAGTCCGAGGCAAGTTCAACTGATATGGGGATCTCAGTGAGCTCTTCAAAAACACCACGTACGGCCATGCATGAATGATAACTGGTTCCACAAGCAATGAAAATGATACGCCTGCAGCGACGAATAGTGGAAATATACTGCCGAAGCCCCCCGAGAGTGACTTGCTTGTTTGCAACATCCAGCCGACCTCTCATGGTATTGACAACTGACTCGGGCTGTTCAAAAATTTCCTTCTGCATGAAATGATCGAATTTGCCCTTCATGATTTCCTGAAGCTCAAGCTCAATGGTTTGGATAGCGCGGACGTTCGAGGTACCATCATCCTTCGTGAGGCGGTGGATATTCAGTTGACCTTCATGGACATGGGCGATGTCATCATCTTCGAGATAAAGCACTTTCTTTGTGTGCTCAACGATCGCAGAGGGATCAGAAGACAAGAAAAACTCTGCCGGCTGAGGGATGCCATCATCGGAGAGAAACGCACGCGACTGCGACCGGTGCAGGAGGGATTTATCAGGTGGAGCCAGAAGTCCGGTAGCGGACTTCTTGATAGCTACGTTCTGAGAAGCCTGCTCAGCGGGAAGAGCTCCATCTTCTGAGTACTCCACATCAACGAAGTCCACTTTCATCTTCTTTGACGTCCTCACACCGATGACGAGCGGAGAACCCTTGCGAGCCGCAATTACCTCATGTGGGTAATGGACAGACTTAATAAGGAGGCCAAAAGCACCCTCGAGCTCTTTCACGACGGCCTTGGCGAGGACTGTGAACTCAATGTCGGGCTGCTGGTCGTACAAGTATTTCGCAAGCTTCGCAATACATTCGGTGTCAGTTTCCGTCTCAAACCGGAACCCCTTGCTCTCTAGCAGAGCTTTGAGTTCCTTGTAGTTCGTAATGATGCCGTTGTGAACTACTGCGAATTCCCAGTTTGGATCAGACCTGTCGGGCAAAATGTGCATTAGTTAAGTCAATGGACCGCAACGTATGGTTGGCCCTTGAGTGCCAAATGACTTGCCGAGACTGGTGATGCACTTACCGGTGAGGGTGGCAATTCTGGCGAGAGGGTGTTCCGTGAGTAGCCCAGCGGGTGTGAGCAATGCCAGCGTGGGACTCGAAAGTCTTCGTCATGTCGGGCTTGGATTCCTCAATAAGCTCCTTCAGTTTCGCGACCTTACCAACTTCCTTGAAAGCGCAAACTTCGTTCTTTTTGTCACCATCCACTGCAAAGCCCGCCGAGTCGTAACCGCGGTATTCCAGTCTGGAGAGTCCTGCATTTAATGATTGTGAGGTTGCCGTCAGATCAAATGGAGGGGAGTCGCATACCATTGAGCAAGGTATCAATGATGTATTTACGGTCTCTCTCGACGAGATAATTGATATAGCCGAAGATGCCGCTGGACCAGGTTAACAGTCCGCATATTAATTCTCTTGGAGAGAAAGCAGAGGTCTATTCAACATGACATACCACATCGTGGAAGACTATTCAGGTAGAGTTGGAATGGGCTTGGAGAAGGTATAAGGCAAGACCGGAACTCCAGGAGGACGCTTTTTACCTGACTATGAGACAAAAAGAGGGGGAGGGTAAAGAAGAAGAAAAAAAAGGCAAGATGAGAGTAAATCAATCGCCAACGAGGAATAGAGTTGATGAGACTGCCCTGAGGGTGGAGGTAGAGAGGCAGAGATTGATTGTTGACTGCTGTTGAATGGTCCACAGTCTTCTGTGAGATTTGGATAAATGGATGAGTAGTTTAAGGGGAGCAACTGAACGAGCGAAGGGAGGGGTCAATAATGTGAGGCAGAGGGAGTTATTTGACACAGGATCAACAAGCTGAGAGGAGGGGGGAGCTGTTATGCTTTATGTTGCCGCGTTACAAGATTGACCCACCCACAGGACCAGGGAAGCTGCTACAGAATGGAGCCATGGCGTTCCCATCCTTTTTTTATCCAAGTGAGGAAGTCAGGACCAACAACCAGGGGTTACTGCAGCGTCTGCGCCTTGTAGCCACAAACACAATCTGCTGGAATGTCTCACCTACAACTCGATTCGAAACAAACATTGATGGATGGCATACACAGGAGTGGAGAGCTGCCTACCCCTCTACGAAATGCTGATGCTGACGCTATCATGCTAGATAGATAGTAGATAGTGGGTGTTAAAAATAAAATGCTAGATTAATAGTAGGAGTTAGCTGAAGTGTTGCTATATACAGAACAGTCAACTAAATAATAGGCTACCCCTGGTACTCCCACTGACTTACTGTACCGGACCCATTCCTATTTTACTTGGGAGTGTACAAAAATAACATACTCTGTATTATTTATTATCTTTTATTCTTCTAGCGGTATGTCTGTCTATATGTGTGACTCTGTCTACAGAGCATACATGTAGCAATGACTGAAAACTACCTTAGGTCAATGACTATACTTGCTTAGTAATCTAGCATGCCGTCCAAGTCTTCTGGTGGATGAACTAATCATGTTTAGATGAAAACTTCGATGCCCAGCTTGACTGACACCAAGCTGGCCGCTGCCTGTGTTCTCTGCTTCATAATATCAGCCTTGTTATAGGAATTACCGCGATTTAATGGAACTTAAGTACTGTACCTGCAGGAACATTTAATGTATTCAAAATTTTCCAATAAATTTGATCTAAGGAACACACACAGCCACTGGTCCCATCACCTGCCTGACTGCCTCAATGATTCTAAGCTTTTATGGTATTGTTATGTTGCCATATCTACTAGAAAATTACAATAAAATCAATTCCTAAAGACTTAGTCAGGTGCATCTTTGGCTGCATAAACATCCAGGCATATATATCATGGTCATTGTGATCAATGAAGTAATGTATAACAGAGGCATTTACATGACTAAGGTATCCTTATAAACTCTTGGTTGCTGATTCAATAATGTTATAAGTGGTATGTGACTACTGTACTCTGTAGATATAGCAAAATGACAATCTTCTGGATATTACTATTTTTAACATCTTGCACTAAGTCCCACATATTATTGGTGTGATTACTGATTATTATCTTTCTTGTACATACTCCCTAAGGTACCACTGTACCTACCTCTTTTTAAGGTATGTGGACCAAGTTTAGTAACCTTTCACAAAGCCCATAGAAGACCTCCATCTACTCCGCAGGTAGAGATCTTGCTGCAGTGGAATAATAGTACACTAGATATAACTACCTACTAAGTTCGAACTATCTACGGAGTAGTAACGCTTCCATTGCAAAAAAAAAAAAAGTAAACTAGGTACGAATATTAACAAGTTCCACTATGAAATTTGGTTCCCATTCCATCGGTACGGAGATTTTTCTGGTTTGTAATCCTCCAATGACCCCGGGGTGTCTAGGAGCATCTGATTCATCCATCATATTGCTTCTCTGTCCACTCCAGCTGGCTCTTATTTCCTGTGCCTTACTGTCGCTTCGTCACGTATACCTAGCTACTACTCCGTAGAGCTATTAGTTTTTTTCAGACCAAAAGTTTTTCAAGAAATCGGGTTTTGGCACGTTTCACCAACCCCAAATTACTGCTACTGCCTGACCTCTAGGGTCTGAGAGGACAGCTGTTGCTCTAAGCACAACAACGACAAAGAAAATTAGACAAAACCAATAGCGGGCAGGCTGTATGGGACAGACCATGGGAGAGATGCACCTCAGGTTTGTCTAGATCTTCCCCGTAACACACATCAGTTCATCACGTCCACCTACCTGACAACAGGACATAGCATCGCTTCAAGACCATTTACTAAAGAATCTCAATCAGATACAGGTAGGCGTCGCTTTATGTTCTCTGATAACAGGAGTACAGTAAAGCCCAAGCCTGGAAACTCGAAGTCAATAGGTGAAGTCGTTGACGGTCAAATCCCATCTAAGACATTCCAAGAAATTTTGGGCGATATCATCCCAAAAATGGCGGAACAAAGGTTTATCCAAAGCATACAGTCGGAGCCTGTCTCAAGGGGGTGCCTGGCTATGCATCTGTGATGACGATGAATCTTAATCTTGCATATCCCCTTCCATTTCATCGTTGACTTGTTATGAGTCGCAAGAACAGTATAATAAAAACATCAGAATTTCGAAATTTCACCTGGAAAGCACAATATGACTCAAGAAAGCTCAGTGATCGTGCTTTTTGTATAACTTCACAGGCGGGTCTCGTGAAATTGTAACAGAGGAATGGAGTAGTCAGCAGTCCATTCCGATATGTCTACAAAAAGATTCGTAGACCATTTATGTGGTGGTTTTTCATAACTAGCCCCTTCTCAACACCACAATGAATTTAAAGATGTTTCGGCAGTGATGCACTGGACTTTTTTCTTTGAGGACCTCCATTTAGCTGAATTGAAAGCTCGATCTTATTCTCCGTGTCGACTTCATGGAATTACCTCCCCCGCCACAAGGTCTTGTAGTGACTTGCTTTGTTCGCGTTTCTCGGCCACCAGCTTGATCGCGTCGGTGGGCGTGCTCATTTCCGGTTCAACTCCGCTTTTCTGCCCATGAGCCTCAAGTACGCAGTACACCATCAAATTATCAAGGTTACTACTTCTGCTACTTATTATATTCCTTCTCCTCGTCTCGCTCATCCTTCAATACTCACCGCTTTCGTACTCTTCTCCTTGCTTCTGGGTCATAAGAATTACCTTCGCCCATTCCCCAGCAAGCGTTGACACCTGTGCCATCCTGTCAGGAAATTTCCCGGGCCGTGGGTCATCGCATGAGCAGATAGACCGCAGTCAAGGATGCTGCGTTCTGGTCGCGGCCTGTTCTTTTCCGGCTTGTGAGCCATCTTCCATTATGTCGCGCACATCGGCAGGCTTTGCGGACTTCTTTCCAACTGCCCCATCCGTCCTTCAACAAAAAAGAGTCAGAGCGCCGCGAGAGCGATCTCGCTCCGAGGATCGACCCAAGGATCAACTTCATGACCAGAATGGCAATGGACAATTGCCCTGGTCTCCTGGGACAAACGCAGCCAACATTTTTACGAATGACAGCCCACCTGACGTATCAGTATCGGAAACCGGTACGGGTCTAGAGAAACCCGGATGCAAACTCGTTGGAGAAACGAACACGGGCATAACGGGTACGGATTCATCTATTTTAAGTGCATCGCTTGCTCAGTGTCGTGCAACGCAGGTGAACGAGGCACAGTTCGATAATCTCACACCGGTCACCAACGCAGAGTCTCCGCCTCGCAAGTTGAGTCCTCGTCAATCCAAGTTCGTTGAAGTGGCCGAATACGAATCGAATAAGTTTGCAACCGATGAATTAAAACTTGCTGCTACTCCCCTCCATACACCGCCAACTCCACGGTCGCAAACTTCGCGCAGTGGTGTCATCAAGGGTTGTAAGTTGGTCTACGACCCCGATCTTGAGAAAAGATCGTCAAAGGAAAAGAGAAGAAAGCCACAATATGTGGACTTTGTGGTGAATGAGCAAGACAGCTGTTCACCAGACCCGCGCCTGAGTATTTTGAATTACACACGAGGTGCTGGCTGTAAGCAGAAGACGAAATACCGGCCGGCTCCTTATAGACTGAAACAGTGGCCATATGATGCTGCAACCACTATCGGTCCTGGGCCCCCCGTCCAAATAGTGGTCACTGGCTTCGATCCCCTGACCCCAGTTGCTCCAATAAATGCGCTTTTTTCAAGCTTCGGTGAGATTTCAGAGATAAATAACCGCACAGACCCTATCACAGGGCGATTTCTTGGAGTATGCTCAGTCAAGTACAAAGACAGCACCTCTTTTCGCGGTTCCGGGCCAATGCCAGCGGCAACCGCGGCCAGACGAGCCTACTTTGAATGCAAGAAGGAGCAACGGATTGGGACACGAAGGATCAGGGTTGAACTAGATCGACATGGTGCTGTCTCAGACAGAATTGTCGCAAGGGCCATTGAGTCTCAGCGAATGGGACATAAGAAAAACGAAGTTGGAGAAGAGGCAAGAATTGAGCCTCAAGCAAAAAAGAATGAACCACCGCCGACAGCGCCCAAAGGCCCTTCAAGATCTTCCACGCGTGCGATACCCGCCATACCCGAAGGCCCAAGAGCGAGCTTTCTCAAGCCTGCCATGCCCTCTCTGATAGAGGAAACACCCATACTAGGGCAAATCAAGCGGGATCCATATATCTTCATCGCACACTGCTACGTTCCTGTTTTAAGCACAACAATTCCGCATCTGAAGAAAAGACTCAAATTATTCGACTGGAAAGACATTCGGTGCGATAAAACTGGGTACTATATCATCTTCGAGAATTCTAGGCGCGGTGAGGAGGAAACCGAGCGTTGTTTCAAAGTATGCCATATGAAGCCTCTTTTTACTTATATCATGAATATGGAGAGCCAGCCTTATGGAAATCCCAACTATGAGCGAAGTCCGAGCCCAGAACGACTCCACGCAGAGCGACGGGAACGGGCAGAGAGAGAGAGGCTGAAAAAAGAAGCGGATTTGGATCTCGAGGAAGAAAAGAAACAGCGAGCGATCGATTTGGATCCATGCAGGGAAGTTCTGGCTCTCATTGTCCGCGATTTGAAAGATAAGCTTCTCGAGGATGTGAAATCGCGCATCGCCGCCCCAACATTATATGACTATCTCGACCCTGACAGACATGCGTCAAGAAGGCGAGCTCTAGGCATTCCTGACCCTGAGGGGATCAGAAGACATACTTTCCGACTTGACGTTGATACCTTCGGTTCGAACAATTCTCAGTCTTCTCTACCAGATGGCCGTTCGTTCAGCCCGTATGGCCTTAACATACTTGCGCTCCCACGCATCAGAAAAGCTCATCGTTTGAACCGTGCCGATGCTGCCTTCTTAGACGAGAGGCGTAAGCAGCCTGTCCGAAGAAAGGAAGTTCGACCTCTCTATCACAGACTACAGCAGTTGCATGATGTCGACGACTCTGATGAGGACCAACGTACTCCATCCACAAGGGATATTGATGAACAGGACAGTCGTCCACCGAGTCGGATGAGTTCCAGATCTTCAATTTCCGATGACGGTGAGGAATCAGAACCCTTGGATGGACTAGCTTCCCAAGATAAAAGGCATGAAGCGCGGCTCCTAGGCTTGGAATATGGAGATAACGGCACCGTGCTTAACGATACAGCAGATGGGTATTCTCGGCAGGATTCACCCGGTCTCTCCTCTACACGCAAAAGGAAACGGGCTGCAGAAGAAATTGAAGTGCGTAAAAGACCTAAGGAGAGCGAACGATTGGACTCAGATCCCTCTGTGGGGACTGAAGATAAGTTGTTCTACGGGGCTTTTCGTCACTCGGAAACTGTTGAACTCGGTGCTGTGGAGCCAGAAAACCTCGCTGGAATCGGGGATACATTCCTGGGTCCATTGGAAGACAGATCGATCAAGGAGGACGGTGACCACGAGAGACTCTCGGATGTAGAAAGGCTTCAGATCAAGTCTGCCATACGAGGAGCAAATCTCGACGTCCAGCCACCATTACTTGACGAACCCTCTAATGCAAAGAGCCATGAAGACCCGGTAACAGAGATCGAATGGGGGGTGTCTAATGATGAACCTCGTCCGACAGTTGATGATGATGAAACCATAATTTTGGACTTGGACGGCTGGCAGAATCTCATCAAGGATGAGGAGGATTTGTGCTTCCTTCGCCATGTCCTGGCCGGGCAGTCAAGATCCAAGGTTGGGAATCTATCAGCATGGGCGTGGAGACAGAAAGAGATCAAAGCTCTCAACCGTCCCGGTGAGAGTGGGCCTGTCCACCAAGAGACTAGGATACCAGACTACTACGTTTGCAACCTCACTGGAGCTGCTCGGACTGAAGGAAGAAAGAGGATCTTGGAGTCGGAAAAGTCGAAATATCTACCTCACCGTATCAAAGTTCAGAAGGCCCGAGAAGAACGAGAGGCCAACGCAAAGAGCGATCCTCATGCTTCTGCTGCAGAAGCCGCTAGGATCTCCGCGGCGAAGACAATATCTAAGTCCACTTCGAGGTCGACAAGGGTCAATAATCGCAGGTTGGTTGCAGACATCAACGCGCAAAAACAGGCACTCCCTATGCAAGGTGGAGATGGTGATGTTCTCCGTTTCAACCAGTTGAAGAAACGAAAGAAGCCAGTGCGCTTTGCTCGGTCAGCGATTCACAATTGGGGTCTCTACGCGGAGGAGAACATATCAGCGAATGATATGATCATCGAGTATGTTGGTGAAAAGGTGCGACAGCAGGTGGCAGACATGAGAGAGAGGCAGTACTTGAAGAGCGGGATTGGTAGCAGCTACCTTTTCCGAATCGATGAGAATACTGTTATAGATGCCACCAAGAGAGGGGGTATCGCTCGGTTCATCAACCATAGCTGTACTCCTAATTGCACTGCAAAGATCATCAAGGTCGATGGTAGCAAGAGAATTGTTATATATGCGCTCAGGGACATTGAAAGAGGTAAATCTGACAGACAAACCGATTGACTCGGCATTGGGCCATGAGCTAATATGTACGCAGATGAAGAGCTGACCTACGACTACAAATTCGAAAGGGAATGGGACAGCGACGACAGAATTCCCTGCCTTTGTGGTTCGACTGGTTGCAAAGGGTTTCTTAATTAAGGCCACTCGAGGTACCTTGCAGTTGACTTGGACACCGCACGCTAGGAAGTGCAAAAATGGCAAAGATACAAGCCTTCCAAGTTTCAAGTTCTTTCATTTATTACGCCGCCCTTAGATTCACCTGGATTCTTGCTCACACTATCGTGGTTCCATAGAATGGTGGAGTTGGCTCCAAAGTTTCGCATCACAATGTTCTGTTCAGCTTCGAGCAAATATTCATGTATTATTGGTCTCTCTTTTCAGTGCCTCCGGGGCACCGACATCTAGCTCATGGTGACTCTGAAGGAATCACACATGCCTTGTACGATACATTTTAAATCACTCAATTACTCACCCTAGGAATATGAGAAATACTGCAATGATAGATTCTACAGTGTTACTGCATGTTGTTATGGAAGTATCTCATGCAGCCAGAATTTTGAAGCCGTTAGGCCACAACGGCTATTCCTTGAACAAAGACAGCATTGGGTGAGGACCATCAGGGGTTGGGGTCCTGCGAGCAATACACCTAAGCTCAAAATGCAGAAAGCTTGAGATGACAAACCCATACAGCATGGTTTCAGACTATTGAATGGACTGTTAGCAAGCGCTCACATAGATGAGGTCAGGGAATCCCAGACCCAAATGACTTGGCAGGAGGAAGTTCGCAATTCCCTCTTTGATCATATATTCATGACCGCAATTCCCACACACTAACTTTCCTTCGATAACATGCGTCTCGAGTAGCAATCGGTGCAGATCCTTCAATGTCTGCTCGTCATTGAGGGCTTCCCCTTCGGGCTTTCTCTCAGGAAGATTGGAGAATCCGAGCTAGAAAAGTCAGGAACTTCACAAGCTAGCGAGACTAGGAGACATTCGACCTACCTCATTGGCAGTCACCCGCAGTCCATCCCAGTCAACGCGAGGAATAATATTGCGTATAAACTCTGGTTGGAAGTCAAGTTCCTCAAGTTCAAGCTCAGCGTCACGAAAGTGGAGTGGAAATGACGCTGATGATGTCTTGCAGCCCTTGACAGCGCAAGTCAAGAAATTCACAGTCACTAACTTCATCGTGTTTAAATCACAGAGTGATAGGATGCTAGAATGAAAATCGAGTGAGGTCCTTTGATAAGATAAGATAACCGCAAATTTCGGAACCCGCGAAAGTGGGTTTGATAAGTTATTTTTTTTTTATTTTTATTTTCTTTTTCTTTTTCTTTTTGCATTCACTACAAGATAAGATGGATCAATCGTAGCTCTTAGTCTCTCAATATTCTCTATCTCATTCAAATTTGTCTCAATATGATCCAAGGAAAAACAGTACCTTGTAAAGTACAGTTCAGTCACCATTATCCATGATTCCTGGAAGGTTGAAGAGATTGCAGCTTAGTTCACTTGATTAAAACATCTAACAAATCATCATCTGTTATGTCATAGTCCGCAAAACATGCACTAGGGCTCAGATGATCACCGTCAAACACCAGATGAATCTTTCGCTCTGAAGGTATGCGCTTTGCCTGCCGGAATGCGGCAATAACCTGAGAAATGGGCCGATTCGAAGCAACACTTGTTTCGAACTTATCAAACCCTGGGCACTTCAAGACAAGCCTGATCAAAGGTCTTGGATCCGAGCCCTCGTTCAGGGTCGGTTGCGAACCAAGTGCAGGCGAAAGTCGTTGAGCATCCGAGGCAACAAGCTTGTCTGTTACAGCCTCCATATGGATACGCATGGGTTTTGCATCCATTTGTGAATACTTGTCGATGTCCTCATCATCAGGCGGTATTTCGCTGATATCAAGTCCGAGGCTTCTGCACGTTGTGACATCAAATAATCTCCTGCCCTTCCAGGTCAGATATATAGACGCCTGCAGTGTAGTTGGTAGATTTTGACGATTGCACCAAGCTAGACGTACGTCCCTCAAGGATTGTGACATTTTTCTATGAACGATAAGCGGTTTTGTGTTCTCAATGGGCGAGGTAATAAGGATTTGCACAGTAACATCTTCTTTTCTGGAGTCCGGATATTGTTGCATGTCAGTGCCTGGGGCCTTCCCCTGGCATCGTTCTTCCTCCAGATTATCCAGGCGCCCATCGACACTCATGCCCTTGCTCTTTCTTTCCGTTTTAGATTGAGAAGAGTCATCAAAGCTCGTTTTGCGGCGCCGGACTGATGTAAGTAAAGTAGGTTCGGAGTCACGATCTGGATACACATTTCCGCTAATCGTGTCTAAACCACCTGAAGATGCCGTTGCCGGTTCCTGTGGTCCGCTGTCCTTGCTCTCCTCCGCTGGAGTGCTGCAGTGAGAAGGTTTCAACTTTGGAGGTGCACACTCTTGTTGACTCATCGATTCGAGATTGTACTTGAGACTACCGTCAAGGCCCAGGGACTTGCTTTCCTCGGAGTTCCCATCATCCAGCACATGACGGCGTTTTCTTGCCCTGCCATCTTCAGCTGCAGACTTGTTACCGCAATTAGATCTCTCCCGAGCCTCTCTGTTTGTAATGATGATATCATCGTAAATTTGTCCAGCACGACGGTAGAAGTCAGAAGTCACTGGCTCGTCTCCTTTGCTTGCCCAGGAAGGCCTCTTGAAGAATGACCGCATCAGGCCAGTCACTTCGCTCGTGTCAGCTGTATTGCATGAATGACTGAGGTGGTTCGTTTGTTGGATTGGTTGCGTTACACATCGCAAATCTAAGCTGATTTGCGGATAGTGCCACACATTAGAATCAGATTACACGACCCAACAAGCCACTAGGAAGTTGTAGTGCATCAGTGGTTGTTGAGGAGAGATGGTGTAGCCCAAGAGGAATGGTGATCCCTTTCTGTGATTATAGTTGTTTGTCTTTCTCTAGGTCCTTAGGTCAGTTTTGATTTTGTCTGCTTTAGCTTTTCTAGTTCATAATTAGAGCGCATTTATTTTGATCCACTATGTAGTAAACTGTGATTGTGACCTTGTAAGGTATAATATTACATAACGTAATCCACCACCGAGCGGCACACACCACCGAGCGGCACATGATTTTTACCAAAATTAACAAACCAGGAAATCTTCTACTACTGCGCAATCAAAATAAAGCTATTTTCATACATAAGAGAATTATATT